AAACACAGGTTAGATTGTATATCGACTGTTTTGATTGACAGCTTCCTTGCTCTCCTATTAGTTGTGTTACACCTATCAGGATATACAATGTAAGTTATCATTGGTTTATAGAGTGGGTGCCTCAGATCAGTGTGCAAAAAGGATACACTGTAAAGTTGTTGGTTTTTTTACCAGAATTGTGTTGTTTGAATATGTTGTGCATTTGTTAAAGATATTATTTGACCTAAGGATGAATGTTGTTGTTGTAAAGCAAAGATCTGAGTGGAGTATAGGATTCTCCAGTCTGCATAAATAGTTAATTATATATTCTAAGAGATAAAAAACCTTATGAATATGTGTTGGTAAAACATTTGTATGTGCTGATAATGTCTCTACAGCTGTACAACAAGGAGCTGGAGGCAGAGTTTGGGCCTTTTGATGACTGGGTGAGCACATATGAGCTGTTCAGAGGGAAAGCCAATGAGGAAGAGGGGGCGAGTGATGAGAGATTTGTTGGCAAATTTAAGGTGAGACAATAATTTAATGTCCTCCCTGGAAACCAATGACATATCCTAACTATTGATCTAATACACTTTGTGTTAAATCTTCTCTGCAGGGGCGATTCTGCCTGTACAAGATGAGTGAGGACGAGGTGGAGGAGTGGGAAGATGCCGCTGACATGGGAGACATCAAAGTCAACAGAGGAGTCCCTGACAACGGGAAGGTCCAAGTCCTCATAAGGGTTTACATCGTCTCTGTACGTCCTCATTCCTACAGATCACTTTATCATTTACACTAAACTGCACAGCTGTTTAGAGCATCTCATCATACTGTAACTGTCCAAAGACCTGGGGGAAATATATTGCATTTGAAGAAACTAAGCTTCATTAACTGAAGTGTTTAAAATGCCTGCAAGAAAATAGAAAGTTATGGAGATATTGTGTTTGGTGAGAGCTTCCAGTTTTCTGTTTATTTAAAGTAATAAATGTACATTGATCACTTAGGCTGTTGTTGCCCTTTCAAATCAAATCAAGTGAACTTGATATGGCACAGAATTACAGATCACACATTTTTCCTATTGTACGAAGACATTTTTATCACACAGTGTTTTTTCGTCATGTTTGCTGTCTGTAATGCTTTGGTTTTAATACCGCATTGCACATCTTAGATATTTGAACTATTGTATTCCTGCAGGATACTCTTTAAATTATATTTGAACTTATTCATATGCCTTTTACAATATGTATAATATCACCTATATGTAGGGTGCAGGATACATTACTTTGTAGTTGTGTAATTACCATATTAGATTAGATATTCTATTTATATTCTTCTCTCTCTCTCCAGGCATCTAACCTGCACCCATCTGATCCGGATGGAAAGTCCGACCCTTACATTGTGCTTCGGCTTGGCAAGAATGAAATCAAAGACAGAGACAACTACATTCCCAAACAGCTGAACCCAGTGTTTGGAAGGTGTGTGACTGACAGCTTTTCCCTCATTTTAAAAGTACAACTAAACTCAGGCAATGTTTTTGTTTTATACTTGAAACATAACTTCTCCAACTCCTGCTTGTAGTTCTTTTGAGATGCAGGCGTCATTCCCTCAGGAGTCTCTGCTGTCGGTGGTGATCTATGACTATGACATGGTGGGCGGGGACGACCTGATCGGAGAGACTCGCATCGACCTGGAGAACCGATTCTACAGCCGACACAGAGCCACCTGTGGACTCCCGACTGAGTACAGCCTGTGAGTCTGGGCCTGTGCCTTCGTGGAGCTCCTGCTGATTGTGAACATTATATCTATATTTGACTTAGCAGACTCTTTTAATAGAAGCAACTTACAATAAGTGCAATCCACCATGAAGAAGTACATTAGCTTTCAATAATCCAAACCATTTTAAATGCTACTGCATTGGCTTCAGTAAGTAGGTAACATACTGTACAAATATGTTTTTTTATTGGCCAAAGTGCAGTGAAAGCAGATGGGTTTCCTTCTGCAATTGTATGAATATATGTAGACTTTCTTCTGTCTTGATGGGGGCTTTTTCCACCATCTTGGAGACAAGGTTTGTTTTTGTTGAGGAAACCAGGCTCCTATTCACCAGAGTTATGTTTCACACTTCATTCTTATGATTAATCCTGCTGGTTGTACTCATAGTTCATACGTTGTCATCTCTGTGTTCCTATTTAATTGTTATTTCATCCAAACAAACAAATCTAAGTAGGAAGGACTGCCATGGAGAAACCTTTCCAAACTTTGAATCAAAACCTTACAATTGGTTTGATAATGACACTCTCTGTTCGTCTGTTAGTGACGGTTATAATGCCTGGAGGGACTGCCTGAAGCCTTCAGAGCTGCTGTCTAAGCGCTGCAGAGATAACGGTCTGGGGGAACCTAAATTCGCACCAGGACGCATCACTGTGGCAGACAAAGTTTTTGGTGGCAAGACGCTCTTCATGATTGAAGGTAAAGAAGACTGTTCACACTACATATTTAGTGTGTGTGTGTGTGTGTGTGTGTGTGTGTGTGTGTGTGTGTGTGTGTGTGTGTGTGTGTGTGTGTGTGTGTGTGTGTGTGACATTAATGATGTGTGCACACATCTCAGACGAGCCTCTGGAGTCCTATGAGCACTTGTCTCTAAAGATCCTGCACCGCTGGTCAGAGATCCCGGTTGTGGGATGCAAGCTGGTGCCAGAACACATCGAGACCAGAACTCTGTTCAACAAGGCTCGGCCCGGCATGGATCAGGTATTTTTTTTTAAACTATTTAACAACTGTAAGTCCAATACGATCTGATGGAGCCAATCTAGAACTACGCTTAGTATAGTGCTACTTATTTTGGGTTGAGTGCAATAGTGTGAGACAGACTGATGATGAGGAGTATTTACATGTATCTGCATCAGAAACTGTTTGAATATTCTACTGTGTGTGTGTGTGTGTGTGTGTGTGTGTGTGTGTGTGTGTGTGTGTGTGTGTGTGTGTGTGTGTAGGGTCAGGTCCGGATGTGGGTAGATATGTTTCCCATGGACTCACCTCACCCTGGACCTTCAGTGGACATTTCACCGCGAAAACCAAAAGGGTGAGAGCTGTCTCTCTAAAGGCCATTCTTTAAAAGGGGCAATAAAACAATGCTTGTTTCTAAAATGACATGTTGAACCCCAATGCATTGTGTACAGGTACGAGCTGCGTATCATCATCTGGAACACAGAAGATGTGATTCTGGAGGATAGCAACTTCCTGACTGGTCAACAGTCCAGTGATATCTACGTCAAGGGGTAACTCCAGCTCTTTTTCTGTATAGGGTGGTGCAGGAATCAGTCCTGAAACCCGGAGATGAGTTAGCATTTTTACGACCCCCAGTTCGCTCATCTCGTCCCCTGCCACCACTTGGATGTAGTTCAATTATGGCCTTAAATGAGCTTTTTAATCCTGGCGATTGCATTTTTGCTTTTAAAAAATCATAAAAGTGTTAATATGTGGAGATTAGCCTGCAGAACAAATTGTGTAAGTATCATAAATGTCTTAACTGCAGATCTTATTATTAAAAAGAACATGTGATCACTCTATGTTACAAAAGCAGATGTTCTCGTACAAACATTAGCCTACTTATTCCTCAATTTCAAATTAAGACTGAATGTCTATGTAAACACTGCTGCTGTCTTTGTTTCACTGTAGCTGGTTGAAAGGTTTAGAGGCCGACCGACAGGAGACGGACGTCCACTACAACTCTCTGACCGGAGAGGGAAACTTCAACTGGCGCTTTGTGTTTCCCTTCTGCTACCTGCCTGCTGAGAAGGTACTGGCAAATACACTGACGGTCACACCTCATGATCCCTGCTGAAAAAAGTAGGACCTGCAAAGAATATCAAATGTATAACACATACCTCTTCACAGACAGTAGTGGTGAGGAAGAGAGAGCACATTTTCTCTCTGGACAAAACAGAGCAGAAGCTTCCTGCCATCCTCAGTCTGCAGGTTTGGGACTTCGAGACGCTGTCTTCTGACGACTTCCTAGGTGAGTGAGTGAGTGAGTGAGTGAGTGGCTGAGTGAGTGAGTGAGTGAGTGAGTGAGTGAGTGAGTGTGTGTGTGTATATTGGAAAAGCCATATATCCATTATTTTCTCCTCTCTCTCACAACACAAATAAAATAGCTGGAATTTATCAAAAAGGAGAATATCTGTTCTTCTTAACTCTTCTTGTAATTTCCCCTTAGTTTATATTCCCCTTTAAAAATCTTTATATT